AAGAAGGAGAAAGAAAAAGAAAAAGGGGCAAAGAAGCATTCACCGTCGCAGCTTCGCTTTTTCCAGGATAAAAAATTGGACCCAAGATATGAAAATTGGACGCCCAGTGTACCTTGTACATACACCTCTTTATTGGAATGTTTTTGAGCTGTAAAACAACTTGCAATAGGAGACAAAACTCGAAGAAATTTTAGGGGTTAATTAATTAAAAAAATTTGGAGGGGACTAAATGAATAAATTACCTTTATATTTTGTTGGTTTTGAAAATTTTAGGACTTGGTACAATATGTAAAGCAGATTGGTTTGAATGTGATACTAAAAATGAGTTATTCACGTATCTACTACTACATTATATGCCAACAATGTAAATGAACTATTGTTAAATAAAATTAAACACTAATATAATATTAAATTAACTCTACACATGATAAAATCAAACTTAAAAGTTCAAGATAATACTGACCTATGACAGAAAGGCTCTATTTAGCTAGTATGATTACAATTATTTTATTTTTTTACCAGGAAACATCTCAACGATTAAAAACTTGAGTTTTTAAATCTTATGATGGATAAAGAAAAATTTGAATAAGATAGAATTATGTTTTATTGTATAGGATCCATTACCCGATTATACTAAAAGAAATGATTGTTAATTTTGATTTTTGAATTTTTGTTAAAATTTAAACAATTAAAATCAACCATTGAAGACCAAAATTTTAAAAAAGTCTTATTAAGAATAAAATTTTAAAACTAATACGAGTTACTTAATTTATAAAGAGTTTAATTAACTTATGTAAGTCAGAATTAGAGCTTGTTATGTTGGCTGATTTAAGGAAAAGGAAAAAAAGAAATTTTTTTTGTTCAATTAAATTAAAATATTAGACCAATATTTGAGGTCCATTGAATTCACAAAGAATAACTTTATATTAAAAAATATTTTTCGAAAATGATCACAATCATACTATGAAATCAAAATTTAAAGTGAATTTATCAAAAGTTATTTTCGTCCATACCCATTTGATTTCAAACTTTAACAAATAAATTAGGTAGAATTATAACTTATTGTGTTTTATTTGAGAAAAATGGAGAAATAAAAATTTGTCCTATGAAATTACTATAAAACATTAGACAAACATTTTATCTGAAAATATAACAAAATTTGAACTTCTTGGAAATCAAATCTCCTAATTACATCCCTTGCTACTTTCTAATATCAATATTGATTTATAAGTTTTCTTACTTTTATGTTTTTAGAGTATAAGGTAAAAGTACATTTATTACATCTTTTTATTATAAGAAATTATTTATTTTGTACATATAGAGTATAGGATAACGAGCAACGATTGAGTAATAAGTGTAGTATCATCTTTTCTTAAATAACTGAAATTTTAAATTAAAAATAATTTTTTTAATTTAAAATTAACCAATAAAAATTTAGTACATGACATCTACAATTAAAATAAAAATCAACTTCTTCACTTTTAAGATAAAAAGTTATAATTATTAATTAATAATTACTTAATTATTACTTTTTATCTTGTGTGAGAAGAGT